CCGTCGTCTGTACTTTCTGACGCTTTCAACTGCTACTCCTGGCCCCTTCGTTCTGCTGTCATTCAGCAGTCAGATTAGGGTAGTTAAGATCGAACACCAAGCAATCTCGGATAAGGGTGAAAAATATCGGAAGTCCCGTGTGCAAGTTGCGCACGTCAAAGATCCCTTGATGGGCCTAAAATCGATGAGTAGGTTTCGGCTGCCACATTGGCAAAATTCAAGATTAATTCCTTTAAAAAACTGAAAATGCTCAATGTGTCCCGCGCGCTCGTGCAATTGCGAGCGCCGTTAAACACTAATTACTTAGCAAAACAACAACAAAAAACAACAAATACCCAGCAGCAGCCCCATGCAGATAACATCTACAGCGTCGACTCCTACACAATACAAATCTAGACGCTTTACAATAACTTTATCTTAATACAAAATACAAGTAAAATGAAAATACGCTCTTCAGAGCCGACATCCATACTATCACAGCGCAACTGATAACAATTATGCAGATCACATTATATATACAACAGTAAAAAGTAAAGTTACTCCTGCATCCGATCCGGACATTGGGGATTGCCTTGTTAGTGAGACAACTTCCCGGGCCGTCGGCATATTGTGGTAAGGTGGCCAGTTCCTTTCCACGCCGCCTTTACTTCCCCAACTCGAAGTCAGGTACCCATCACTGCTGGGTGGGCAGGAGAAGGCGAAAAAAATCCGTGTCCGAACCGAGGCTCGAACCCGGACTTTCGGCTTCGGAGAAGAGTGTACTAACCACTCCGCCGCCACACCCTCAAATAAAACAGTACTATGAATAAAAAGGACCAACTATAAAGATGGCATCTCACGAGGTGTGGATTTTAGATGTTTCCTCCGACTATGTATCCACCTAATGTTGTGAAGAGAATTCCAGATAGATGGGGCTGGATAAGAAAAGGACCTCCCGGCGAATTTTTTACCTCCCGTCCTTGCAGGGTTGGGTTGATTTAAATCAGGTTGATTTAAATCAGTTGATTTTTTTTATTTAAATCAACTTGATTTTTTAAATAAAAATCAGTGATTTAAATCACTTTTTTTTTAAATTATTTTTATTCGGTTTTTACACATTTCAACATTCAGAATTTCTTTCCTTGGTTTCATAAAACAGATATAAGGTTCAGTAGACTAATATAATCATGCTTAAAAGTCTGCTTTCCCCCCTTTCACTGTAAAATAATACAGTATTCAATTTACTTTTTTTTTCATAATTGAAATCAGAGCTGGGTTGATTTAAATCAGTTGATTTTTTAAAATTTTTAATCAATTTGATTTTAAAAATAAAAATCAGTGATTTAAATCACTTTTCAAAAAAATGTATTCAGTTTTTACATATTTAACTTTCAGAATTCCTTTCCTTGGTTTTATTTTAAACGGATATAAGGTTTAGTAGACTAATATAATCATGCTTAAAAGTCTGCTTTCCCGCCTGTCACTGTAAAATAATACAGTTCTCAATTTACTTTTTTCATAATTGAAAACCAGGGTTGGGTTGATTTAAATCGGGTCGATTTAAATCAGTTGATTTTTTAAAATTTAAATCAACTTGATTTTAAAAAATAAAACTCAGTGATTTAGATCTAAATCACTTTTTAAAAATGTTTTCTGTTTTTACATCTTTAAACATTCAGAATTCCTTTCCTTGGTTTTATAAAACAGATATAAGGTTTAGTAGACTAAAATTGCTTAAAAGTCTGCTTCCCCCCCTGTCACTGTAAGTAGTAAAATAATACAGTATTCAATTTACTTTTTTTTCATAATTGAAATTAGCATTTTCTTTTTCTTTTTAGACAAACACATGCGCGTGCTCACACACACACTGTAATACAAATAAAATGCAAGTTTATCTATGCATAATTACCCCCCCCCCCCCCTTCCTTTTAGACTGACATTTTCTTCATTTTTTGTCTGTAGCCATAATTCACTGATATAGCAGATTACGGCTTTCTAAAATTGCAGTTGCTTAAATTAATCATTAGTTAAAATAAAGACAATGCATTTTGCACTAAAAGAACATACTTTTAGCCACCAAAAATCCCAAACTGTGTCGACATTTTTTTTAAAATAAAAAAAATAATAAAAATCCGATTTAAATTTTAAAAATCTGATTTAAATTTTAAAAAATCGATTTTTTTTATTTTATCAAAAAAATCAAAATAATCACCAACCCTGCGTCCTTGGTGTTCTCATAAGAGATTGACCTTCTGATCTTAGACAGGTTAGAAATCTTGGTGGAACATACACTTGAGTGAGGTTGCTTAAATATGAGCGGGCTTTATTGTTAAAACGTGTATGACAAACGACAGAAAATCTTAAAAGTACACCTAATTTTTGTTTGGAGCAATGGAGTCTTCTTTTTAAAAGTGATGATAAGGATGTTGTTTTGTCTTTTTAGACACAATAATTCTTTCACCTTGTTTTTAAAAGCGTTGTAATGTAGTTTTAAGGTGGTAATCAAGAGTATGGGTTTAATGCAACTACAAAATTAGGTTATTTAACAGGCGGAACCTCTGAATTTAATGTGCGTTTCCGATAGGACCGTGCTAAATGGGTTGGGAGCCTTGAAAACTCCACTAAACGACCTGAGTTCAAGAAAGCCCAGTCTGGGATACGAACCACGCTCACCCGCTCCGTAGTCCAGCATGACGCTAACCGAGCTAACGGAGTCACCCTCAAGACGGCCATGTTCGGGAGATTTGCAAAGAGACAGGTTTACGGTAATCCATTGCTCAAATTTACGCAGTTCAAAATATAGCATTTTGCTATAAATAAATGAGAAATGTGGTGGTTGCAAAGGATGAAAAGTAACACTCAGCACAGCAGCATAAATAAGTACGGAAAGAATAAAGAGACAAACGAGTAAAATACTGTAACTGAAACGATGGAGGTCGTTCTTTGAAGATGGTGCTCCTGGGGTCCTTTAGTGATAAAAAAAAACTCAGAAGAAATGTTCCACAAAAGGCGAGAAAATAATTCTAAACCTACTCGGTCTCAAATTGAACTTCCACGCCTTGGTCAAGTTTATAACCAACTGCCCGACATAGCCCGGCGGAAACAAAACGCCGAAGTAACGAACATAGATAGTATGTACTATGGTGTCTGAACTTAGCATGCGTGCTATTTTTAACACAAGAAAGGCTGGTGTGCAGTGAATCTCAAAATTTACCATGTCTTCTTACTCAGACAGACAGACAGACAAGCAGGAAGGCAGGCAGGTAGGCAGGCCAGTAGGAAATAAGCAGGCAGGCACGCAGGCAGGCAGGCAGGCAGGTAGGCAGGCCTGTAGGAAATAAGCAGGCAGGCAGGCAGGCAGGTAGGCAGGCCAGTAGGAAATAAGCAGACAGGCAGGCAAATAAACAGACAGGAATAAAAGAGGGATAGCAAAGAAGTGGAGGACCTACATGAAATACGGGTAGACAGTGAGGATGCAGATCTAAAAATTGCCACCCTCCAACAACCTGGAGTGAAGCTGTTGTTTATTTTAGTAAAGTAGCACATCAACAGAATAACAGCCATTTAGCGCAGGTAAGATGCGAGGCTGATGGGCGGAAACAGGAGGGGAATAGAAACGGAGTAGAGCTTACTATTTGTTTGTTTGAGTAAAGAGAAGAACATCGATTTAACAATGACCAGGAAAGAAGCAAGGTAGACAGAAAGAACAGGGGGAAAGAAAATAAGTAGGATCTACCAGTAGCGCCCTATAGCCACTTGCAAGACCTACCAGGGGCGCATACCACCAACAAGTTCACAAAAAGGAGTAGGGGGCATAAAAAAAGGATGGATTATTATTATAATGATGATGGAGATGGAAAAGATTACGATGTTGACGATGATGATAAATGGCATTTGTACAGCGTAAATTTCCACTCAACAGCAGGCTCTGTGCGCTTTACACAATTTATAAGGACCAAATGTTGGAGGACAACTGCAGTGATGAAAATAGCACAGTGAGTAACAACTTCAACATCGTACTATGACACGTACTAACAACACGGACCACAACAGAAACAGTGGAAAATACAGAAGAACATCTCTCTCTCTCTCTCTCTCTCTCTCTCTCTCTCTCTCTCTCTCTCTCTCTCTCTCTCTCTCTCTCTCTCTCTCTCTCTCTCCCTCCCAAGGACACTTGACTGCCAAATAATTCACAGAAGCGAGTACACTAAATGTCTAAGATGCTTTTATCTGGGCTCAATCAAAAACTTTAAAACAACTTAGATTTCTTCCGGGAGCAGTAAAGAAGTAGGAACTGCCAACAACGGCGCCCTCCAACCACCTGCTTGTTTGAGTAAATAAAAGCAGAATCCACACAATAATGGTCACTTAGTGATCGAAAAAGATCAGAGATACAGCCAGAAACAACAAAGGGAAAGTTAAAAAAAAACAGGACCTACCAGTGGTACCTCCAACCACCCGCCCAACCACCGGCATCAGGTTTTACCTTGTACAATGCGATATCTGAGTCACTTTTTAGATTTAAAAAAGCTCGTTACACTTTATGTCTCCTCACCTGCAGAAGACACAACATGAGATGCCAGCAGACACAGAAAACAAGTAAAAAGAGTGAAAGTTTTAGCAACTTTACCTGAATCTAAATTGGCAGCAAAAGAGCTGGAAAAATCTGGTCATTTATGAATAAAACAGAAATCGCGCGTGCGAAAATGGTTTACTACAAGCAAATAAAATCAGGATACTGTTTCTAAGCAAAAAGTTGGTCGCCATTCGGCAACACTCTCAAATCAAACACACGCAAAACAAAACCACCACCACAACAACAACAACAACAACAACAACAACAACAACAACAGAAAAGTACCAACTGGGGAGAAAAAACTACAACAACAGCATGCGTGTGCAGAAAAAAGAAAAGAAAATTTAATTTTTAAAAAAGAAATGACATCGAAAACCGACGAAAATGAGTCCCAGATACAGCTTTACGACATTAAAAACACCTAAATAAAACATTTAATAATCACCCTTATCTTGCAATTCCTTGTTGATATCACTAATGACATTAGCGAACCGGTGGCGGTTCACGTCTAGCGTCTCCATGGCGGCCGTTTGTCGTCCCTAACGACCGTCGCTGTCCACTGCTTCCAGAATCTCAGAAGTTCATCCAAAAGAATAGACGTCTATTGTCGCGTCCTTTCAGCCGTCAATAGAAGCCAGAAATAGAATCTCAAGTCAATAAAGTAAAGAATCTGCACTCACAGTTTCAACTTCGCATCAATTTTTACAGAGACGCGAATTCGACAGGAAATGCCCTCGAATTTCATAGACTCCTAGCACAAAAGCACAAGAACCGCCAAGGTTGCATGTTCATAGTGTATTTTCATAACAACAACAGAATTCTTACGTTATTGTCGTAATCCACAAACGAGAGAAGCCAGCTATTTGTGAACACACGAAAGATCACACTGTATGGTTACATTTTTCGAGACAAAAAGATCCAAAAGTTGAAAAAAAGCGTATGTTTACATATCCAAAGACTGGGTGTCAAATTTCTGCAATAAAACAGAAAAATAATTTCATATATAACTTTGCATAAATTAGGGAACACGCCATTGCCAACTCCAAGTAGCTAAAGTGAAAAACAAACAAATTTTATCCTCTGCGTTTGCCGTCTTACATTCTAGGTCATCCAGACGAAAGACACTGGGTTTTTTCAGCAATACATCCGCAAAAACAATTTTGACTATATTTCATAAAGGACTACCCCCCCCTCCCCCCCCCCCCCCCCACTCCACATAAAAAGTCATTATTCTGACCATCAAATGGCGTATTTCACGTATGTGTTCTCAAATTAGCACGTAGGCCCTACATGTACATTTTGAACAAACATTCAAATTGACCATTCGACAACCAAGTGCCATTTTAACAAATAAACAGTCCTTTTTATACCCCACAGTAGTTGTGAACAGGTATGTACATTTAAAAAAACAGATCTCCCTCCACCCCCAAAAAAAACCCTGACAGAAGAGCTCTCAGGCCACAAAAGAATAAAATCAAGTGTTGAAAAAGAGGACAAAGAAAATTCCATTCCAAATATATTATGTTCTCGTAAACAACTCTGCCCCCACTGGAAAATAGTAGACTTTACTGCCATTTCACGTCTCCGTTAATCCTGTTGACAACGAACTTCTCGTTTTGTTTGTTTGTTGTTGTTTTTTTGTTGTTGTTTTTTTGTTTAAGTTTTAAAAGAAACAAGCACATCGACGCAATGAACCCGCTCCCTATAACGATGACCACCTGGACACTTACGTCACGGATCATCATTCCTACCCAGTGCCATGTAGTGTGTAGGTGTATCGATTTCGCAAGGGTTGCAGTTAAATTTTTTCTACTTTTTCTTTATTTCAAATTATTTTTCCTATAATCTTAGATCGATTGTCTTGATTGGAACGTTGGACTTGATATTAGACTTGTGCTCTAATCCAACTGTTGGAGTTAAGATTGATAAACTTTATTCTTTTAAAAAATGTCTACCAAAACAAAACAAAAATTTAAGTAAACCTAAATCAGCCTAAAGTTTGTCAGAAAATCTGTGATATAAGTCTGTGTTCACCTTGGGATTGATCAACGGTCCAGAAACGGCAATATCCCACCTGAAAGATCAATAGCCCTTGGACAGACATATTTTCCAGCCGTTTTTCACATGAGAACGGCCATACGTCTACATTGAGGCACTCATTCGGGTCGAGTGATCAAAATAATAAAAAAAACTTTGTCTTTTTGTTTGAGTAAATAAAAGCAGAATCCACACAATAATGGTCACTTAGTGATCGAAAAAGATCAGAGATACAGCCAGAAACAACAAAGGGAAAGTAAAAAAAAAAACAGGACCTACCAGTGGTACCTCCAAC